ACAGCCCTGCCATCAGGAGTAGTTTGAGTCTTTTGTCAACATCTGAATGCTTGAAAAGGTACTAGGAGTGACTCTAAAACTTCACTGTGTAAAATCTAGGAATAGGAAGAGGGGGTTACTTACCTGTAACTGGAGTTTCATTATTCAAGATGCATGGTCCCTATCTGTGTGCCATTGTTGGTTACTCATTCACACATGCCCAAAGTCAAAGAATTTGAAAATAATGGCTATGGCTCACATGCCCTTGCTCGTCTCATGCTTCTAACTGAGGCAATACTGTCTGCCTCTTTAGTTCATTCACCACCACAAATCAGAGAAGATCCAAAACAGAGAAAGAGGAAGGCAGGTAATAGAATAGACACATCACACATCTCAAAGAACCTCCAGTTACAGGTAATTAACTTCCTCTTCGAGTGATGGGTCGCTACTGTATTTCATTGTGGTTGATTGATAAATCATATCTAAACAAGTGAAAGGTGTGAGGATGAGAATGGTAGGGTCAAGAGGAGAACCGCCATCCCAAAGGAGGTGTCAGTAGCTGAATCTTGTATAGGATGCATGCGCTAGCCAATGGACAGTAATTTCAGATTCTCTCATGTTGGGTTCATGGTGAACATGCATAACCCACCGTGGAAAACAATAGTGCCTGTCACTTCAAGAATTAACTTCTTCCCCCCAGTTTAGTTTATCACCATTTCTGCTATGGTGGTTGAATGATTTCAAGCATGTTGACACTTCTCATTTTTACGACGCCATTTTTCAAGTCTTGTGCCATTTTTATTTTATCACTGGTAGCCTTTATGCTGTAGTCTAGCCACTGACATTTTAGATTTATAAAAAAGGAAACATTTGGCACAATGTTTATAGGGTCAACAAGTATTTAGCTGGACTTAAAGTAGAAAATAGGCCCTTTCTGGTTTTGCATCCAAACAAACTAAGGTAAAAAGGGAGATTTTGGATCCAAGGCTTCAAATTCACCCATACTCCCAGTATCTGAAAGAGTTATATTCAAGGTTCTAGTTCTGACAACTCTCCATGGCATTTAGGGGTGGATGTAAAACACAGACAGAGAAGTCAGTGGCTGTACATATACTAAGAGATAGAGTGCTGTTACAAGATTGTACTGTCTTATAAACATTTCATTTAAAGTGAACATACAGCTTGATTCTTGCAAACAGATTTTGTATTTATTGCTTTTCCCCCCTAAGCAGTACATATTTGCATGTTTTTCTTAGTTTTGGCATGCTTTAAACTCAACTTTTAAAATGGTGAAATGTTTGTCTTATGAAGTTACCTACATGTACAGATATTTTTACATAGTTTTTACAAAACACAATTAAAAAGTGCTATACACATTTAATCTCTTATCCACAGAACATGATATTACATATATATGCAGAAATTAATATAAATACAGTTAAACTTGGAACAAGTAACTTCATTGTTCAAACTCTTTGTCTGGTAGCTTAGTGCAGGAACTACCAACAAATACAGAAGTTTAAACAATATGGTAAAAAGTGAGCATTTTCCTGGAAATATTATAGGATTAAAATAAATTCTCTCTTTCAAACAAATTTGCTTTAAAAAAGATGGGTTTATTGCCAAAGGGAGGAAGAAATGACCTAAGGGGACAGCAACAACAGAAAGAGACAAATGCTACCAAAAAAAAAAAAAAGAATTTTTACCACCTGTATTACAGAACTGGTATGTGTATTCCATTCACATTTTTGTTGCCCTGAGGCTGAAGATTAATTCACATTGACAAACTCACATCAGCTTTGTTCCACTGACAAAATTAACTTTAACTTTTGCTTTGAGGCAATTATTCTTAATTCCTCACTCCTTCTTCCCCCATCAAAATAAACTAGCATCAAGCTAATTGAGTCCGGTACAATGAAGTCTAACACAATCTGAGAAAATATGCAGAAAAGTGTTTCTCTGCAGAGATATGAACAGTAACTCCAATGCCGCTCATTTGTCAAGTAAGTATATAGAGTTAATATGGATTTTTACTGGCATTATTTCAATGTCTTTGTAATATGTTTTTTGTATGGGAATCACCATAAGAACCATGATACTACACTTAATCCTAATGGATCAACATTTTGCAGTTGATACTGACTTTCCTTATTCCTGTTACTGGTCATTTTATTTTATTTGTAAACTGTATCCAGAGCTGCCAGCACATCTCATACTTCCTACTAGTAAAGCCTAGGAAATATTTTTTTTTTTATCTTTGCAGATCTTTTTACTCATGGAAGAGCTGAAAGCTGTTCATCTTCTTTTACCAACCAAAATATCTGCAGTGCTCAGCCTTTTGTCAGTTGCAGCTTCCTGTCTTCCAAAATAGCAAACAAATTATTTAAAGTACCCAAAATTAAAAGTCATATGATATTGATCCCTGGAAACAGTTACACATTGTTTTAACTCTTGTCCCATTTTGTTCCACATGAGATTTCATTAACTTCTAAAGCTTAAACAGAATTCCTAACAGTTTAAACAAATTTATATATGCTATAGTTAATACGCAAATGTTACTTTCTATTCATATTTACATTATTTTACAGGCTATATTAAATAAATACCAGCATTACTAAATTTCAGTATCTTAAATATATACATTATTCTTCAACTGTGTTTCATTAGATGCAGGTTCCAAATCTATTAGAACATTCGCTATAACAAAAAATTACTTTGCATAACACAAAACTCCAACTTATGGTACACTGATAAAAATAAAACTCCAAAATACACATTCCTTAGCAAAGACTTGTGTAGTAATATTTCAAAATAATCAACAAGCACAACTCCTGAAATCTGTGTCTCATTAAAACAGAAGCCATTAAATATATACCCTAGCAACTTCAGATGTATCTCAGAATAACCAATACAGTAACAGCTGATCCTTCTAAAATAATTTGGTGGGTTATTGTGCTTTATAACAGAGGGAAGTAATGCATTACAAATGTTCTATTTCCAATAATAAGACCATGCTTAGTACAATACATTTAACTTCGTAATACTTTATCTATGTTTGGAAAAATTAAAGCACCACAAAAACAGTTTTACAAGATATATCCATATCTGTACAATACACACATTTAGGCTTTCTTTTAAGTACAGTATTTAAAAGTAATAGAACCCAAAATTGTGCAACAAAGAAAATAAAGGGAGCTAAACAGAGATCAGTATAATATGTATCATTTGCAAAAGAATGGAATGTATTCTGAATCTATAAGGAAGCTGCATTGTTTTGAAACATTGTTTCTAAAGACAGTAAGCCAGATTCACCTCTTTTTGGTTCAGAAAGTGCAAATTTTACCTGCTTGTGCCAATAAGAATCACACTTCTGATACAGAGGATTCACCCTACCAGGAAGGGAAGCTTGAAGTTCAGTCAGAGGCATTATAGGAGCACCCTACTAGCCAAGCCTTCGGCAAAGATATGTTAATTAACACATCCCCTAGTCAGCCTGGTCAAGCCCCTTCACTCTGCCAACATCAGCTATTTTGGGGCTGAGTAAATTTCCTGAAGGCCTCAGCAGATAGGAAGTTACTAGAGTTGCCACCTGGCCAGTTTTTAAAACAGGCCTCACCAGTGAAACAATTTAAATGGGCCACCCCCACCCTGAGGGTAAAGGGAGAGGAAATATTCTGTAGAGACTTCCCATAGGCTTCTCCCTTTAAGAGCTGCACCTGCCATGGGGACTCAACTCCTTTCCCCTTCTTTCTGGCCTGCTCTGGAACCAACGAGATGCTCTAGGCTCTATCTAGATAGGAGAAAGGGGACAAGAGGACTTGTTGTTATGGGGCCACTTTCCCCATCAGCTGCATATGGATTTGACCAGGAATCAGAATCACCTTCCTTCCCAGCCAGACAGGAAGGGGGCATGGTGCTGGTAGGGTGTAGGGTGATCATTTGAAATGTAAAGGGTGGGGGAACCAAGCTGGAGAGGGCAGTGGCCAGTTTTCCTCCATCTTGGCGGTGGCAACTCTAGAGGTTGTAGATACTTTGCACACTACCACACCTCTGACAAATGTGTCATCGCTGAGGGCTCTGAGCTAATGACTACACTAACTTTTCCCTGCATAGATCCTGATGAAGTAATATAAAAATAATTTGTGCTTTCCCATCTGAAGGGCCTCAAAAATTGTGGGAAGATTTTTGTATGTTTGTACTTCCACTGTATTTTTCACCCATTCTGGGGAGCGCTAATGGGCTTTATTCATTTGATTCCTAATGGATAAAGCCAGGCTTGTCTCCTCTTTTAGCTAGTGAGATATAAGAATCCCATCTCCAAGGGTTTCAGGTACACCAACTGAAAAGGAATGGTTTGTTAGCTTTTTTTGCCACTTTAAAATCCATGATTTATGTGATCAGAAGGAGAGGACAGTGGGATAAATCTTGCCAGAAACAGAAGAGAGGCGAGTAAGAAGGAAAAAACTTTTTTGTGTGAAGGAAGAAGCATCTGTTCTGAACTAGTACAAGATGGCATTATTTATCTGTCCTGCTGGCATGGAAGAAAAACTAGGAATGGATGATGAGATACAGGGGAAAAAAAATAACACACACACACACGCGCGCGCACAATCATTTTGGAATTGTATCACATGTTGAGATTGATGTTTATAAGTGGTACAGATGACATCTTCAATCTAGTCCCAGATATTTCATTTTGGTCTGTGAGCCAGATGTACATTTTCATCCAGCAGTGGAAAATGGAAAAGCTGGACCAACAAATGTTAGTGGAAAATATCTTTAAGTTGTCTGTCTCACACTCAAAGAAAAGAAAAAAAAGGCAGGGGGGGCAACAGAGGGAGAGAAAGGAGATCTTTTCATATATGCTACCTTGACAGAGAATCTGATACATTAGTGAAAAGCTTGAAAAATATTCTATTCAGGAAAAAAATTGCCCATGCATCACGCTCTCAATTTTTCTTCCAATGCCTTTTATTTATATGTATGTAACTTTGGTCTTACATGACCATCTCCTATTTGTTCACAAATGGCTGCTAATCAAAAAGTAAAGATGCCAGAAATAGAGGATGACAACTTTTAATGAGAGTTGAGTTTGGCCCTCAAAGTAAACGTGAACCCAACCTTAAGATATTTCTTTCTTGCTTTAAAATGATATGAGCTAAATTCTTCTGACAAGCATATTTGCCATCATATTTTGTTTCCTTTAACATTTCTGATAGTCAAGACAGAAATTTTACCATTTTTATAAAACACGCCCTTTCAGAAGGTCTTTTAAAAAAGTCTTCTAGTGATCAGACTCTATTGGTTATAATGGAAGTGTATGAAGATGATCGTTCATTTCTATATAGGTAGCACAACCCTTTTTATCTTTTGTATTACATTAGGCTGACAATGGACATTAAGAACTACAGTATGTTCATAACAAAGAAAGGATCCGATTGCAAGAAGCCCAATAATCACATTCATGAGCACTTGGTACTGAATGACAAGATTGCACTATCTATAAATATATCCAAAGGAACCTGTCGTCTTACAAACACAAAAAACCTAAGAGCTTTCACCTACAACTTACATTTATGTGCTCTTGATGGTCTTGTTCTTAACAAAAAGCTGTCCATGTTATAACCACCTCAATCCCAACAGGCCTTAGCTACCTCCACAAGCTCAAATATTGAGTTCATCAAGAAACTAAATTACCCTCCCATTCTCTAAAGCTAAAAGTCTCCAGAAGAGGACTGGGGCACTCTGCCAGGCTGATACAGGGGAAGATGCTACTACGTGTGCTTTAGCTATTTATGGGTAATGTCTTCAGACACCAAGGTTATCAATCTGGCACCATTCACAAACAAATTTACTTAAAAATGTAAATTCTGTGTTCTACAGTACTTGTTTTATGCACTGGTCCTACAGACCTGGAGCCTGGTTTTCATATGATCATGTGCAAAAATGCATGTGCAGCTGTAAACTCAGTTTGTTGGTGCAGTTTCCACAAGTGTGCTCCAAAAACTCGTATTTGCTTACTCAGATGGCTAGATGCTCAACTGCGCACTCCCATATGTAATTACAGTAATTATGCATGCATTTTTTGGATTCAGCATCGGCTATCTTCCAACAGTCTGCATACTAAGATTACCACATAGAGAGAAAGGAGAGAAAGATGTAAAGTATATGCAAAGTTAAATGAGACAAATTATAAAGATCTAAGTAGATCTTAATTCCAGACAGTGCACACATGGTCACTTGAACTTTCTGTACAGTAAAAAAAAAAAGGTACATTGCACATCTACATGTCCTATATTACTGCAATACAGTGCTTGGTGTTTAAACATTAAAATACATGATGCCAGTATTGGTTGTACTAATGCATACTCTGATATGTACATGTACAGTACAATTAGAAATTACTGACAGAGTCAAGCAAAGCTACTTGAGCTAAGACATTGAAACTTTTCCCTTAAAGACTGGACAATATTCTGTTGATTAGGAGATGGAACTGTCCACAGGTAGTCATTCAGCTTATCTGAATCATTGTATGCAGTCAGGTATGGGGTAAGGACAAGTTTGCTAGTCACTGATTTTGCAGGAGTACAAGACATGCTTTTACTACAGAGAGTCTCACAAGAAGCAGAGTCTACATTGTTTATCTTTGGGTCTGATTTCTTTGTTTGGTTCTGGGATGTCTCTAAGTCAGACCCCTCATCTTCAGACTTTATTTCAACATAGTCGTCGTCGTCTTCTCCTTCAGTATCTTTGAAATTAGAAAAATAGTTCAGCGTAGCTCTTTGTGCATTTAGAGGCAAGTTCTTGTTCACTCTCAGAACTTTTTGAGAGTCCTGAAGAATCATCTCTGAACAGTTTTCAGGGAGCTCCTTCTTTATATCACATACTGTGAATCCTGAAGCAGCACTTGGCACAGACTCCTGGCTGTCAGATCTGAAGTTTCTATTTGAATACAGCTGTTTCTTGTCCATTTCATTTAGGTAAGTTATTGGTTCCTCAGACCTGTTGTCCACAACCGAGGAAGAGGACTGTGACCTGTTGTATGCTTGTGGCTTTGTATGGTTTGCTTTTCTTCCTAGAGAATTATAAATATGATCTTGGTGTAAATTCTCTTTGTTAGGCTGACTAATAATAGCACTCCACCTTTGTGTTGGGACATGCAGACGTGTAGAAATCTGAAGGGAAGGCACTGAACAAGCTGTTGGCAATGGTCTTGGATTGCTTTTTGGACCAGTCTTTGCTGGGGCGTTCTTGGACTTCACATCTTGAACTTCAGGCCAGGAAGAGAAATCTGCTAGTTCTCCATTACTGTACGTAGCATGCAAAAGCAAGTCTTCTGCCCTTAAATGTTCACTAGCTAACTGAGCATGAGAAGGAGATGTTGATACTGGGATTGAATACCTTAAGGCTGATGGCTTCTGTGGGGAAGCCCATGCATCCTTTTGCATTTTGGGTGAAGTCTCTCTAAAAACAATCTGGTCATAAAGCTGGGAGTATTCAGCGATTCTGGCACCTGGAAAAAAGAAATATTTAAACTTTTCAAAATGAAACAACACTGTATAAAACACAAGTTATAAGAAACTTAAAGTTTCAGACAAATTAATACTTTATAAAGGTCAATGACAAAGATTTAAAAGATCAACTTTTTCAACCTTACAGTCCACAGAACAATGCAATTCATAAAGACTCCAACATTTCGGATCAATGACATACACTGAGCCATTCATGATATTTCAAAATGAAATTGACAAGTGTGAAATGTTCTGTGCCAAAGCAGTGAACAACCATGCACCATACATTCTGGGAATAAAATGCCAGCATCAATATGATCTATACTTATGAAAAGGTACAGTTATATAAGTAATAGTTATAAACATCACTATTGCTAAACATCAAGCAGTTGGTTTTCCTTTTAGTTTACCATTTCAAAGTTACTGGAGAATGTATTTCTTAAAAGAAAACTATTTCACATATATTTTCTTCTACTGATTTTAATAGTTCAAACACTCTCAGTCTTAAAAACACAAGTGTGACAGGCATACCTTCCCTTTCATTTGCAGTCATATGGATCATCTTTCAGCCCATCCCTCTGACAGCAACTCCATATATGGAAAAGTAACATTAGTAAAGCGATATTTTTAGCTGTATTTCGACATGATTGAGCAGCTGGGGAAAGGAAGAGCCAGTACCATGTGCCTAGTCAGCTCTCGGCAGACTACCAGCAAGTGCTCCATGGGCCACAGTTTAAGAACCTCTAATAAATAGATTAAATGACTGCAACTCTAAGGAATACTGACAACACCCCCATTTTAGGATGGGACATTCTCAGGTTTTGGTCCTGTCGTAAGTGACTGGTTGGGAAGAATATTTCATTACAGTGCTCACATTTTTCACTAAAATGTCTCTTCCTCCTATTGTTGCTGAGCAACAAGAGGTGGAGTCTTCTGCAATTGTTCATTGCTCCTGTACTGGCTTCTATAGGCAGAGTGTCAGCCTGCCACACCTCCAAAAAGAGAGGACATATGTGGGAGAGGGGTGAAAGAAAAGACAGACTCCTGCATTCGTGGAAGAGGAGGAAATGGAATCCATCAACAGTGGCAGAGAGAGAAAGAGATGAGAGATGCCCCCACGGATGGGCTGGAAATAGAGGAGAGAGGTCTATGTTTCAGAAAGATGCCACAGGGAGCAGGCCTACACAATGGCTTCAGCTCATGCCAGCCAGGGTAGCAGGTCACTGGGCTCCCTCCAGAAGTTACCAAGGGAACTGATGGTTATGCAGAGTGCTTGGAAAAGACAGTTACTTGTTTCCGTAACTAGTGTTCTTCAAGATATGTTGTTCATATCCATTCAACATAGGTGTGTGTGCTTACCACATACGCTGGTGCCGGAAGACTTTCCCTCAGCAGTACGCATAATGGACCAAGTCCAGTGCCCCTGGAGTGATGCGCACATGACATGCTACGTAGGGCTCTGCTTGGATCCCTCCCTACCCAGTTCCTTCTTGCTGGGAAATTTATAGAGGGGAAGGAGGCTGGGCAGTTGAGTGGGGCAAAGAGGGCCTGATGGTTTGCCACCTGGAGTTGGAAGCTGGCTGAGGAATAAAGCTTGCTCCCAAATAAGCCCAGATGTTTGGAGTCCTTATTCTTTGGTGTAGGGGTAGGCTGACAATGGCGCTCCCTGTGGTCGACCAATTCCACCACTAGGAAGTTGGGTACAAGGTGGATATACAAGTAGTCATGGTCCTTGGTAGGCACAAAGTACTTTCTCCCCATCCATTTGGAGGTAGGTGGGATAGATGAGGGAGACAGCCACAGAGCTTTAGTAATCTTGGCTACTCCTTCATGCACTCTGACTGGTACCATCTGGCCCAGAACCCCAAAGAGAATATCAGCTGTCTCCTGGCCTTCCTCAACCTGGAGATCCAGGTTGGTCACCACCCTCTTGAGAAAGTCCTGATGTGCCTTTGTGTCATTGGGGCAGGGGGGGAGGAGCAAAGGAGGGGAAGCCTCTATAGCCTCGTCTGGTGATGCGGAAGATGAGGTTTGGCCCAACTGGCCCTCTTCCAAGGGAGAAGGCTGTTCTCATATTCCTTCCTCCAACTGAGAAGTAACCTGCTTGGCCATCTCTGGAGCTGGGATACAGCTTGCAGGGGACACCAAGAGGGCCTGCGATGCTCTGGCCACTAATCGGGCACCTGGGGCTGAACATGGAAATCTCAGAGGGTTCATGGGCACCAGTACCAGCCATTGCAGCTGAGGCCACAGGATTCCTTGTGAAGCCATCTGTTGCTCTAGCTGGGAAGGTGCTGAGAGCGGTGCCGAGGATTGCACTGGGAGAAGGGAGGCCAAGTCTGATGTGGTGCCTGCTGAATGGATGCTGGTCGAAGCTCATGACCTGGAGTGTGTCTCAGGTACCCCGGGCAGCACAGACTATAAAGTCAGGAAAGTGGGGATGAATGGACTGCTGTCCCTGGGCTAAGTCCCTACAGGGGATGAATGGACTGCTAATTTCTAACTATTTACACTTAACTAGAGGGGAAACTATTTACAACTGAATAGAGACTTTAACCGAAGCTACTGCTAAGGCTGGAGCACACTGTTCCAAGTACATGTCACTGGTGGCAAGAAGGAACTGAGGCAGCAGTATTCTGGGGAGTGTCCTGTATAGCACAGCTTCAGGTGGCACTGGATCCAGTCCCCTGTGGGTACTGCTGGGGGAAAAAAAATCTTCCAGAGCCAGTGAATGTGGTAAGCACACTCAGGGTATGTCTACACTACCCCACTAGTTCGAACTAGCGGGGGTAATGTAGTCATCCGTACTTGCATATGAAGCCCGGGATTTGAATTTCCCGGGCTTCATTTGCATGAAGCCGGCCGGCGCCATTTTTAAATGCCGGCTAGTTCTGACTCAGTGCCGCGTGGCTACACGTGGAATGAGGAGTACAGCTAGTTCGGATTAGGAAGTCTAATCCGAACTAGCTCCTCCATGCCGCGTGTAGCCGCGCGGCACGGGGTTCGAACTATCTGGGATTTAAAAATGGCGGCGCCCGGTTTATGCAAACGTGTAGCCGCGCAGCACGGAGTCCGAACTAGCCGGCATTTAAAAATGGCGCCGGCCGGCTTCATGCAAATGAAGCCCGGGAAATTCAAATCCTGGGCTTCATTTGCAAGTGCGGATGACTACATTACCCCCGCTAGTTCGAACTAGCGGGGTAGTGTAGACATACCCTCACCTATGTTGGCTGGATATGAGCAAGCACACAAAGAACCTTGGAGATTTGATTAAACATCTGCAACTTGGGTTGTTTATTCTAACTCTGGGGCTTCCCACCATGAGATTCATATTGCTAAAATAGATGAAAGGTTTGCTGATCTCATGTTTTTCAACATTGTATCATTCTGATGAAACATCACCACTGGCTGGTACCTAGCAGTCTCAATGCAACATAATGGAGCACAGAAAAATACTATTGTATTTGATGAATATTTTTTTTTGCTGGTAAAATATCTGATCTTGAAGAGCAACCTGAAAACTGCATCAGATCTTATTTATCACCTATCTGTGATATCACAGATAGGTGATAAATTTTATCTGATGCAGTTTTCAGGTTGCTCTTCAAGATCAGATATTTTACCAGCAAAAAAAATATTCATCAAATACAATAGTATTTTAAGACCAGCAACACCTGTGCCAGCACTGTTTTTGTCTCCTCCACCTGCGCCTGTAGCCAGGCAGAGCACCTGAGCATGGATGCCTCTACCCAGATCCTGGTGTGGTTTTGCAGGGACTGTGGCTTGCAATTCCCACTTACTGATATCCAGGATGGGGAGATCATCCAATGCAAAAGGTGCCTGCTGGTAGAATCTCTCAGGCAGCAGGTGGGAGAGCTACAGGAGGAGGTGGCTAGGTTGAGAAGCACCCGAATCCACGAGCAATTCCTGGACTGTGTTCATGAGGAGGCAGCTGAGGTAGCTGTCCCAGTACACAGGACTGTGGACACACCACTGATGGAGGAAGAGACGGCTGAGGGCAGACACTGGCAGATGGTTAATTCTGGCAGCAAGCATTGCTCCACCTCTGCTCTGAACCCTCCTGCTGTGGTACTAGGAAACCCTTATGCTCTTCTTTATACAGGATATAAGGAATCACCCCTTGCAACGGAGGAGGACAATGGAGGAGGAGAAGCCTCGTACCCCCAAGGCTGGGAGGTCTGCTGCCACCACTGCAAATAGGAAACGTAGGGTAGTGGTGATCGGAGACTCTCTTCTGAGGGGGACGGAGGCGCCCATCTGTCACCCTGACATTTCATCTCGCGAGGTATGCTGTCTACTAGGGGCCCATATCCGAGATGTTATGGAGGCATTGTTGAGGATTATCCAGCCCTCTGACTGCTATCCCATGCTACTCATCTATGTGGGCACAAATGATACTGCAAGGTGTGACACTAAGTGGATCAAGAGTGACTACAGGGCTCTGGGAGTACGGGTGAAGGAGCTTGGAGCAGAGGTGGTATTCTCTTTAATCCTTCCTGTCAAAGGTAGGGGCCCGGGCAGAGACAGGTGCATCCTGGAGGTGAATGCCTGGCTGCAAGGATGTTGCCAAGAGAGCTTTGGATTCCTCGACCATGGGATGCTATTCCAGGAAGGGCTGCTAGGCAGAGATGGTGTTCACCTTTCGAGGAGGGGGAAGACCCTATTTGGACACAGTCTGGCTAACCTAGTGAGGAGATCTTTAAACTAGGTTCGATGGGGACCAGTGAGCAAAGTCCACGGGTAAGTGGAGAACATGGAGACCTGGGAGATAGGTCGGAAATGGGAGGAAGAATGGGCTATAATGGCAAAGAGAAAGGAGGGTCAGGGCAAAACTGGGAGGCAAGGTCAAATCTGTATCTTAGATGCCTATATACAAATGCAAAATGTATGGAGAATAAGCAGGAAGAATTGGAAGTCCTAATAAATAAGTACAATTATGACATTGTTGGCATCACAGAAACTTGGTGGGATAATACACATGATTGGAATGTTTGTATGGAAGGGTATAGCTTGCTCAGGAAGGATAAACAGGGGAAAAAGGGAGAAGGTGTTACCTTATATATTAAAAATGAACACACCTGGAGCGAGGTGGAGATGGACATAGGAGACGGAAGAGTTGAGAGTCTCTGGGTTAGGCTAAAAGGGGTTAAAAACAAGGGTGATGTCATGCTAGGAGTTTACTACAGGCCACCTACCCAGGTGGAAGAAGTGGATGAGGCTTTTTTTAAACAACTAACAATATCATCCAAAGGCCAAGATTTGGTGGTGATGGGGGACTTCAACTATCCAGATATGTTGAGAAAATAACACAGCGGGGCACAGACTATCCAGTAAGTTCTTGGACTGCATTGGAGACAACTTTTTATTTCAGAAGGTTGAAAAAGCTACCGGGGGAAAGCTGTTCTAGATTAGATCCTAACAAATAGGGAGGAACTGGTTGAGAATTTGAAAGTGGAAGGCAGCTTGGGTGAAAGTGATCATGAAATCATAGAGTTCACAATTCTAAGGAAGGATAGAAGGGAAAACAGCAAAATAGAGACAATGGATTTCAGGAAGGTGGATTTTGGTAAGCTCAGAGAGCAGGGGGCGGAGAGGAGTTTGGGTGTGAGGGGGAGCAGACTGCACGGGGCGGGGAGGAGTT